TACCCACACACACACACACACACACACTCAGCAACACATCGCCTAATTATCGTTATCGAGAAAATAACCCTAGTTGTAATACCCATGTCATTATACACGTGTCTTCATAAACCAATGAGAACACACACACACGCTATCAGGAGTCAACAATGTACAGATGCCCTGGAGGCGATGACCCCTGACCCGTGCTGTTTAAACATCAGTGGTGGTTAGAGTTCACACACATCTGAGATGGAGCTGATCAGGTACACTGAGATCCATCGTTTCCTCACGCTCGTGTCATGCCTTCACAGACTGAATCATAATCATAATCGTGGCATGTGTGTATGAGGTTATGGAATGTTATGGAATTGCATTAAATCAGACGCAGGGTAACACACTTAAGGACTAGTGTGTGTGTGCTGTGAATATTAAAGACTGCTGTGTATGGCCTGAAATATGATCACCATAATTGATTCCATATCATATACGATATCATTATTTATCAAGATATTCATTTACAACTAATGGGGAAGGAAACAGTTTCTACATATTTGTTAGAATGAATGTAAACTTGTATGTTCACAATTAAACTCCACAGAGTAGCTAACTTTAGTTTACCCACATAGAAATCTCTCTTGTCCGTCTTATTTCTGTTAGATTACATTACAACAAACTCACAGCTCTTCACCACCACCCGCCAAAATAAAGGTTCTGTCTAACTTGAAGAAATTATGACACAAGTATATGACCATCGTACAGTACAATGAATAGGACTCAAAGAAATATTAACAATAAAAATACAGTTTATTATTTGTTTATGCCTTAATTTGAATAACACCATTTTTGATAATAAATTTGTATTAGACACTAGAAAAAAAAGAGAAAAATTAGAAAAAAAAACCCACAGAATTTCTGAAAAAGCACTAGGGGCCTATTATTGTGAAAAAATAAAAATAAATTATACACACACACACACACACACACACACACATATATATATGAAGAGTTCAGATGCAAAAGCCTCTAAATGCCATTTGAAATTTTCTTCTAAAATGACCATTTTTATCAAGCTTGCATATTTAATTTCAGTAATTTCACTTAAATGACAATTAATAGGTAATCTTTATTGCCATTTAAGTGAAATTACTGAACTTAAATATACAAGCTTGATAAAAATGATTATTTTAGAAGAAAATTTCAAATGGCACTTAATTAGACAAATCACTTGTTAGACCGAATCTTTCAAAAACATGGATTAATTCACAAACGAAACATCAGTAAATGCACACGGGCTCAAACCTGAGGATCTGTTTGGGACTATTCATAGGAATAATAGAAAAATTACATAAAAAAATTACAAATTACATTAACTTATCGTTTTATTGAAATGTTATATATAATTATTATAACATTTGCAATAGTGCTGATATTGGGGAAAACGGGCGTGGTTTTGCTTATAAGCTGTTATAAATATTTAAAACGAGAACTCATACAGAACTCATTTTTGGGGGGAACTTAATAGATTTTTGTCCTGAGGACCATTCATTTCTGACCCTGGTGCTTATAAATGCACAAACACATGCACTACACACTAATGCAAGAGGAAAACATTAAAAAGCATCATATGCATATTTCGTTATTTGAAAGAAAAGTGTTTCAAAGTATGATGTTTTGAAGAATGTTGCTAATCGAACGGTTCTGGGGACCACTGATAATTCTCAAAAGAAATCTTTCAATATTCAGTTTTGGCTGGAATAGATAAATATGGTTTCATTAATAAAGTGCCCCAATACAAGTCATCTTTAAAGGGAAGTAGAGCTCATCTTTTATTCTCCATCTTCTATTGTGTCGTATATCGAGTGAAACGCTTCTGGATCGAGAACACACGTGGGCGGGGCTTGTTCGGCCCATGGAGAGCTGATTGGATCGGAGGCTGAACGGTTAAATTCCCAGCGCAGGTTCAGATCCACACACACACACATCTAACCTCCACCACCCCCAAAACAACAAGCCCTTAAAATTTTATGGCAGTCTTGTGTGAAAATAAGGGGGAACACGTCTGTCGGGCCTCAAACGCGTGTGGGAGTCTGAAACCTCTCTCAGATTCAGGAAGTGATGCGAGCAAACATCACATCAGCTGACAGACACAACGCACTCATCAATCACAACACTATCAAATATAGCCGCAAGCAGCAATTATCAGGGCCAAGCGCAATAAGAGGAAAGACATGCCAACATGGCTGGGGGTGTCAGACCGACTGCAGCAATTAGCAATCAAAGACATTTCAAGACGATTTTAGGCGAAAAATCATATAAACAGTAACTAAAATATCATTTAATGAATTATCACTTTCGACCAATAGGTGGCGCAGTTACGAAATCGATGACAATGACACATGTGAAGTTTGGTGTCAGTATGTGAAGGCATTGCAGAGATAAAGCCAAAGACTTGTTATGGCAGCATGCCTCAACTTTACGGCTGCGGTATACGAAAACGGTTTCATCCATCAACACGAAATCCAGAGGATACAATTTTGGTGAAAAGCGGCATAACCCAAGGAATCTGTCAAGACCAGGTTCATTACAATCGGCAAATCTATTCAAAAGTTATTACCATTTTTGAATTTTTTTAATATAATTTTTTTTACCACAAGGTGGCGCTGCCCGAATCTTTTTGAGTACCTTCAAGGCATGGCGCCGATGACGTATACAGAGTTTCGCAACAATACGCTAATGCATTCATAAAGTATTGCCTTTCATATGACAATACTGTATTGAAGTCAATGGCAATTTCATGTTTTGTTCTATAATAGCGCCACCAAGAGGCTCAATCACACACTTCACACAGTGTCATTTTTACCACTTACTGTTAATATTTTGACATTTGGCAATAGTATAATGCCAGCAACCTATGTTTTTAAACTTCTGACAGTGGTTTCATCTCGATCCGACTAACGGTTTCGAAGATATCGGCAAATGTTTTTTAATCGCTAAATCACAACGCTACACAAACCGTAAGGCGAAACCTAGCATGTTTGGTATCATTGGACTCGGCAAGGATTCAGGAACCCAACGAGATGACTCTCGTAGAAATCAGTCAACCACAGCCAGAGTTATACGTATTTGAAAATTTGATTTTACCACTGGTGGCACTGGTTCAATTCTTCTCAGGCTCATTCAAGGCATCGTATCAATGACCCATGCCGAGTTTCGTAACAATATGTTAATACGTTCATAAATTACAGCATTTTGGTTTAAAATTCAAAAGGGCCGACGCCTAAAACAGTTGGATATCAGTCGACTCAGTATGACGGCCAGAATCTAACGAGACCACTTTTATGATTTTTTTGGAGAAACCGTTCATACGTTATAAGCTAAAATAGCCACTTTCCTTATCTCCGGACCAGTAGGTGGCGCTGTGCCGAAACAGCATGTCGCCTCGGGTCATGCTTGTGATGACATGGACCAAGTTTGAATACAATAAAGCGTTGCGAGATACAGCCTGTTAAAATGTAAAATTCGTTCACGCAATATTCAATAAACGTTTGACAAATCAACTCGAATTGCATAACTTTTTGTCGCCATGATCTGAAGATGATATGGTTAAATTTTAATAGCAAAAACTGAAGCAATCGTCTAGAAAAAGTTTGAAAAAATAGGTTTTTCGGAAAATTCAAAATGGCGGAAAAAATTTTTCTAGCCCGTATGCTCCAAAGTTATTAGCATAAATATGAGTGAAACTTTGGACAGTTGGTGGCGCTAGAGGGATTGTGTTAGAGTCTCCAAATTTGCTATGGTGGCTGTTCAGACTGTCCACCATCAGTAGGCCAAATTCCATAACTTTCCCACGAGCGTTTCTATGGTCTGCCTTAGACTTCCATACAGAAGAATAATAATAATGAGAACGCCAACGATTTCAAGAGGAGCTACACACTTTCAGTGCTTGGACATCAGATGAGCAGCAAATGGGTAACAGTCCACCAAATACTTTTTTTCCTTTAAAGGTCCCGTTCTTCGTGATCCCAAGTTTCAAACTTTAGTTAGTGTGTAATGTTGTTGTTAGAGTATAAATAATATCTGTAAAATTATAAAGCTCAAAGTTCAATGTCAAGCGAGATATTTTATTTAACAGAAGAAGTGTGATGTACAATAAACTTTATCAAACTCCGAAACAGCAGACTAAGCTATTAATAAATGATGGATACATACAAGCAGACAAACACGTTATAATAACCGTAATTAAACTACTAAACTATACCTGTTCCATCTCTATACAGCAGTCTGACTCATGTAGTCATTACTGTCCGACTGGAAATGAACACCGTTACTGAGAGTTTCTGATATTATCATCATTCCGTGAGATGAAATTGTCCTGAGAGACTGAGCGCGAGCTCGTGAAGCTCCGCCCCCTGTGCCGACAGCAGCAGCAGCTCATTTGCATTTAAAGGGCACACACTCAAACAGCACGTTTTTCCGAGCCCCAAAAAATGACAATTTAAACATGCTGTAAAAAATGATCTGTTGGGTATTTTGAGCTGAAACTTCACATTCTGGGGACATCAGAGACTTATTTTACATCTTGTGAAAAGGGGCATAATACGGGACCTTTAAACTAAAGCACAATGATTCACTTTAGCACTTGTATAAACCGTGGCTGATCCTGGACGCGACCGCACCGCAGTAGGATCCTGGATAAACTGAGGATTATGATTTTTGGGGGTTTTAAACAGAGATCACGATTCTGAACTGACAACTAAACAAAACATCATTTACTAGAAGTTCTGACAAAAGTGCTTCAGGTTATTTAAAAATGTGTAAATGGAATTAATTGCTTAAAAAACAGTTAAATGAATGATTCAATGACTCAATACTTCAATGACTCACTCATATATACATGTTTCATTACTGGACGAATCAGCTGGACTGGAACAGCACTAGCACTCGTTCTGCCGGACTGGAACAGCACCAGAGCTCCTGCAGACGCGGGATTTAATTTAAATTAAATTGTTTTAATTTACCTGGACGAGTTTGAGCAGCTGATAGAGATCCTCCACCTCGTCTCCTTCCGTCGGGCTGTACTCTCTGCCGGTGTGCAGACTCGAGCCCTTGATAGTGTGCCTGTACAGGGGCAGATCCATGGCCTCCGCCAGCAGATCCACGGCCTGGTGACCCACCGTCTGGTACATGTAACTGTCCAGCTCATCCGACACGGCTGACCAACAACACAGGCATTACTGACAATACACACACACATGCGTGAACATTCAAAATCTAGGATTGGTAAGACTTTTAATGCTTATGAAAGTGCATCTTCTGCTCACCAAGGCTGTGTTCGTTTGATCAAAAATACAGTAAAACAGTGAAATATTATTAAAAAGTAAATCAGCTGTTTTCTGTGTGAATATATAGTAAAGTGTAATTTATTCCTGTGATCAAAGCTGAATTTTCAGCATCATTGCTCCAGTCTTCAGTGTCACATGATCCTTATATCCTAAAGTTAAAAACTATAACTAAGCATTTAGCGGTGTTTGGGGAGATTCTGAGGGAAAATCCTAAATATTTGAGAGTCTGAGTCTGGGTAAAAGTCATTATAGTGATCTTACCGTGTGCAGGAGGCCTGAGGTTGGCAAGGGCCACTATAGTGTGACCAGCAGACACACACTGCATCATGTTATAACAGCTGTCTTTACCGCCACTGCAAAACACACACAGATTTACACCCTCATATTCACGTCTCGTTGTAATCGCGGTAGACGTAGCGTCGTGTTAACGTTACCTGATCAACGCAACAACTCTCATGATGTTTATTTCACAGATGATGTTTTATTCGCTGCAGACATACAGAAATTCATTAGCAGTGACTGCAACCTGTGTTGACCATCACACACACACACGTGTTTCTGCCGCTCGACTGTAAACACTGGCGCTTCTTCCGGGTGACTGAAGGACCCCTAGGGAGGCTGTCTGAGGATCTGCCTGAGCGAAATGGAGCCAACCTTTCTGCTTAATAACACACTGGATATTCTGCTTAAATATCCGCTAGATGAAAGCAACATAAGTAAATAATAATGATTTTGTACATCACAAATTTGACACGTAAAATTTTATTTTGAGAAGACGACGAAAGTAATTATGACTCTGAGGTAAATTCGAATTATGGCATACAAGTCATTTATGCCATAGAAATATATAATTTCGGCTTTTATCTCATAACTATGATTTTTTTAAATATCATATTGACTTGATCTCAAAATTTGACTGTCATGACATTTAATAATATATGATTTATTATGTCATAATTTTGACTTTTTTTAATCTCATGACTTTATCTCATCATTTAAATTTTTGAAGACTCTTAAAAAAGAGTTTTTATGTCAGAATGATTTACCAAAGCATGTAGCCTATAAGGACACTGTTATGCTGCTGCTTACAGACAACTACAGTCAAACATAATTTTATTCATTCAATGACCCTTTTTATTAAAGCTTTTGATTTTGACAAATTATCAAAAACTACAAAGCTCTGTTCTTAATTACTTTGATATTTATCAGCTGTAGCATTTGTCTAAATAAAACTGTGAATAAAATAAGCTGTCCATAAGGCAAGGGAAGAGTGGTTTTTCAAGTGTGCATTATAAAAGATTAATTGACCAGTTTGGGAATGGGATGTGATCCTCGGATTTACAGATTCCAAAGATAAATAAATGATCCAAATGCACATTAATATCAAGCGGCAGAGGTCAAATGCGAGCGCTGGCCTTTCTGTGCATGTACGTGCGAATAAACTAGTCTCAAAAGTGTTAGTTGTTGTCCGTGATGCTGTGGAGTTTGGATGTTCTCACAGGTTTTCCTCGGAGGGAGAATCACACTCACACACACACACACCTTTCATGCTGCGTTTGCTGTGTGTTGTTGTTGTGTTTCCTCACCTCGTGCCCCGGAGCCGGCCAAAGGCAGCGCCTTCTGTCTGAATACACACAATTGAAAGAGACATCTTCCCTGCCCTCTGCTACTGTACGCTGGTTATTTATTTATTTATTTATTTATTTATTAATTTCGTTATTCTGAAACCAGCACAATTAGCACTGGGTTTGTCCAAGAATACCCAGTGAACGGCATTCATCATTTGTTCAGGCAGAGCGTTTCTCAATGGTCCCATATTTGGTTCCAGCTTGTTTTGGGGAACGTTCTCTCAACTTTTTTAGCCTAAAAATAATGTTCATTTCTGTTTTATTGAATTGTTTTTCATCTGATTGTATATTCTCTTCTCTTAACACTCATTTGGATTAAATCGAGTCAACATAAAATGAACTTCATGATTTACACACATAATTGTTTTACCCTCCACTGATGTAAATAACAATAGAAACACTTGAACATCAGATCCTTTTTCTGTACAAAATACATGTGTTGATCATTTTCCTATTTTTATACTAATAAAAATAGGAAACTCTCCAAATGTCACAATAATAGTAAAGTGATCAAAGTTATTAAAAAAAGGTGATGCTGTACACATATTTACGGATTTACAGCTTGTAAAACATACTTTATCAGTACAAACACGTTAAAAATATGGCCACAAGAAGCAATTACTGGGGCCAAGCACAAAAAAAGGCATAAAGAGTTATGCAAACGTCAGACCGACTGCAACAATGAGTGATTAAAGACATTTTTAGATTATTTTAGACAAAATAGTGGAACATTTTTTTTCAATCACATGTAATATGATTAAATTGCTTAACACTTTTGCCCAATAGGTGGCGCTGTTACGATGTATTATTGGAGAACTGCTTGGTCAAACAAAAAGCTTTTAATAACTTTTAACGAATATGGCATACTTGGTAGCATTGTTCTCAGTATAACTCAAGGAATCTATCAAGACAAACTGATCATTAGCATTTTTTTTGTAATTTCATTATGATTTCTGTCTCAAAGCTTTATGAGTACCTTCAGGGCATGGTGCCGATGACACACACCAAGTTTCATAACAATGCGCGAATACAGTATTTTTACGACAAAATTCAAAATGGCTGACGGCTAAAATGGCCAACGCAGAAAAAATGGGGATCGTTCGACTCGTATGCTGCACTGAATCACAAGAGACTTTTGGTCAAAACCTTCAAAAGTTATCAAAAAAATTGCCATTTCCATTTCTCCAGTAGGTGGCGCTGTGCGAAAACACTGCAAGTAGCCTCAGGCAAATTTAGCCTCACGTCCATTTTGCCGTGTTCTTCTTCAAATTTATTTGCATGTTATTATTATTTGTTTTTCAAAAAACGTTAAATGGCTCCCTGGAATCGAATCGACTTGAGCCAAGGAATCAGAGAATAAACTCATTTTATTTTATCCCTTAAGGTTCAAAAGTTATTAGCACAAATGTATGTGAAAATTTGGAACAGGTGGTGGCGCTAGAGGTATTGAGCTAGAGACTCCAAAGTTGTTCAGGTTCATTTTAATTTTGTCCTACATCTCTGTGCCAAATTACATAATTTCCCCACAAACAGTTAGCCCCTAATAACCCATTGGACTTTAAATGTTGTTTATGTGTGTATGTGGTGTGTTTAATCCCATTTTCATATTCATAGAACTGCACATACTAAATCAGGAAAGGGTGTCGAGTTACATTGATTTGTGATCAAAAATGTGTTTTAAAGGATAGAATTATTATCTACAGGGGGATAATATTAATACAAAAAAATCACACATCTTAGATTTACTATGTAGTATGTATTGCTTTATTGATATCATGAGTGTACTGTGTTTTTATTAAATTTGTGGGAAATAATATACATTTACAGGTAACTTCAAACATTTAATTTTTGCTTACAGAATCACACTAATCAGGGTTTTAAAACTCCATTTAGTAATTTTCCAAATTTTGGTACTAGACATTTAAAATAAGCCTGCACGTATTTCGTTGTGATGATCCTTGTGAATGCTATGATGTCAGTGGTTAAATGCCTGCTAAATAAAATGTACTGTCTTTAATGCTTATTTCCTTAAAGGCCATAAATGCTTGAACCCCTTCAAATGCTGCGTGCAGCTTTAATCTTATTAACATCTTTGCTCTATTGTATTTATTTGTGCTGTTGCTTGTCGCTGTTCTTTCTTAATAATTTGAAACTAATTGTTCACAATGACATGCATTTAAAGAACAGTCTGGAAGCTAAATGTGTTGATGGCGCGAGGCGGGAGCTGAATAAAGAGCATCTCACAGCTGATTTACACACACAAACACAACTCATTTTAGTCACACAAGGACACAAGAACTTTGCACTCGATGGGAAGCGGTGGAGTTATGACGCAGACGTCCAGCAGTCAAGGTTCACCTCCAGATCTGTTCATCTTCTTTTAAGAGCACAACAAACCAGCCTGACACGCTCCTTAAATTACACTTCAGCAATTTTGCAGTTTTATAGAAATTTTCTCCATCACACAGGTTGGCGCTGACATGTTATTACTAGTGTTTCTCAGTGCACTTCTTCAGATGTTCTGAGCGATGACCCCGTGCACGGCTGCTGTGAGTTACGCTCCTGTCCTGGACGAGGCCGAAACCCTCAGAGGAGCGACTTCAGCTTCAGCATGATTGAGTCATAACTGCAAGTCTATTTACATCATCTGACAACTATTTCCTCTGCAACCAGAGCGCTTTTGTAGCCGCACTAAAGGCAGATGTCCGCCGAGCCTCAAAAGTACCACAAAACCCAGATTGTGGCGTTCAGAAGGAATCAGTTCAGCTCATAATTCTGCATCGTTCTGTGGAGATGCTGAACATCTTCTGCTTTAGGGATCCTCGCGGTGCCGTAAAACCTGAGCGTCTGGCAGACCTCGTTCTCTCGGGATCCTCTGCGCTCATGTGCTGCAGTGCGTTACTTGTACTGTTCGAATAATATAATATTTCCTTATTTGATGTCTTTTCTGGAATCACACTGAAGTTTCAGTATGTGTGCATTAATTCGTGCTTAACTAATGTTGACTTAAAGCCTCCCTGTAGTCCCGTAAACTCATCTTATATTTAAACGTTTTTTTTCCCTGAAAAAAAGTCTTAATCCCTTAAAATACGTAATGTAACTCGACACCATTGCCTCATTTAGTTATGAATATGCAAACGAGCCCCGCCTCCACTCACTCCCTCACTCAGAGATCCACTGGTTGACGATCACACGTTGATCTGATTGGTTACAAGGTGGTTTGTGACGTCAGAAACACCAGCGATTTCAAAGCGTGTTTTTGAGACTGTCTTTGGTTGCAGTTTTAAGGAGGAAATACTCAGCAATGCTGTCCACTTATCAACTTACACACGGTGTGTGTTAAAGCATAGCCTATTAAACACACCACATAGACATAGACAACATTAAACGCTGGATTTCACCACAGGGACACTTTAAATATTTAGGATTTTCCTCTAAGATGACAGAACATTTGTTTTCAGGTGAACCAGCCCCTTGAATGTTTCAGATCAGTGTTATGCAAATATATTTAGCAACTTGTTTAAAACCCGCCACAGTGTTTGTGTGAGTGTAATACGCGGCGGATCATAAAGCTCAGTGGGATGCTGTAATTAGGGCGTCTGATATACAATCCGAGGACGGCCGCTTTCTTACCCGACAAACACAATCTTAATCCAGGAAATAGCTTGCGATCAGAAGATTGGATCTGACATCAGAGGTAGCCACAGCGCCGGTGTTTGCCGGCTTCAAAGCCCGGTTAGAGGTTTCTCTCGTGATCAAGCATGACACTCCGCAAACACAGATCCCGGCCCTCACTCTGCTGATCCTGGATCCCCGTTCACTCCATGCCAAGTCAGCTTGTGTTTGTGTACGTCTGGTGGACTGGGTGACGTAATGAAGGCTGTAATCACAGGCACCTGTTCTACACTCGGCTGCCTCTGGCTCCAGTCCGGCACTAATCAAGCCTGTGCTTGTGTCCCGATGATCTCGGCGTTTACTCG